AACCGGTTATCCCTCACAATTTCTTTTTTTTCATTGGGATAAAATTATCCTCTAAGTCAGGGAAAGGAGAGCAGGGAAGAAGGTACTAATTTCTTATTAAATTTTCAAAGAAAAGAGTATTGTGGAGGAGGAGGAGGAGGTCTTCAGCCTCAGAAAGCTCATGGTTTTATTACCTATCTGATGGTTTTCAAAGGTCCCATGTGGCTTTGGCCCACATTAGCAGTTTCCTCTCCAAGGTCAACTGGATGAAGAACCACAAGCTTTTGCCCGTTATCAGAATGGCAACGTGGTGTTTGGTCTGCAAGAAAGCACCATGTCCCTACCTCTTCTATCTTAAACCAGATGAAAACAGGTCTTCCTGCAGCTACTCCTGCCTCTGACAGAGATATTGGCAGGGGGGGGGCCAGCCAGTTACCCTGATACTAGGACAGTCTGCACCATGGCCCAGAAACCTTTAAGGACAGTGGCAGAGCCTTTGCAGGCAGCGCTGTGGCTTGGACCCATCTGCAAATCCTTCCCTTTGCTGGGTTGAGGCGTTCTCCAAAAGAAGGTCTGCAAACAGTAAAGCATTTCTGGAGCCTTCAAACACATACACAGAAGCAAACCTTCCATGCAAGACTCTTCATGGACAGAGGAAAGTCAAAAGTGGACAGCAATCATCTTCAAAATTAAAATAACCGAGAGAATGCAAAGAGCTACGTGTCATTATTCATGGAGGTAACATCGAAACATCTGAGGCTGACAGATGACATAAAGAAAAGTTATTTTGCCTACCTACATAACAATGGTCAAGGTTCGGGTTCATGGCTAGTGACCCTCGCTGAGAAGTGTCTGCCCTACAACCAGCCAACCACTTTGCTTCTTTAGTGCAGCGTGAGAGCAAATGCAAGAGACCGACACAGACATTCAAAGCATCATGGATAGGGGCAGGGGTGAAAGGGTTGGTCAAGCAGCTGCAAGGAGAAAGCGAGCACTTCTAGAAAAGCTGAGGTTATTAATCGTTTTAGTATCAGGGAAAGTCATTAGAAACCCTATTACCCAAATATCCCTTCAAGAAATGCTTCTGAGAAAGAACAACCAAAAAAAAAAAAATCATTTGCAGAAAAAACCCAAATCTGTAACAAATAATCCCTCCCCGCCTCCCTCTTCATGCCCACCTCCCACCCCAGGAGGTTTTGCATCTTTGGTTTCCCCACCATTAAATGACACCCCAGAGGGATTTACAATGCATTTCCCCATTTGTTCCAGATTCCCCAACCTCCTCCCATATCCCGTCCCCTCCCCAGACTTTATCCCATAAAACGGGGATTTTATTTATTTTTTTTTTTTTTTAAAGCAGACAGGTTACTTGAAAAATAGACAAAGCCAATTAGGGACAAGTTACCTCTCTGCTTACCTGGAGCAAAACCAAAAAGCAACCCCAAAAACCCCTCAAGAACTTGGCACCTAAAAGGGATTGATAGCCTCACGATTTCCAACAGCAACAACATAAACAAAGAAAAGATGCAGGAAGGAACAGGGAAGGGAAGAATGGAAGTTAACGCAGACTCTTTATGGAAATGTGGCAATCTCGCCCTTACATAAAATCTACTATCCCCAGAACTTTTTGGGTTCTCTAAAGAGTAATTTATATTTTTTTAAACATGTATTTCTCTCTTTTGTGTTTTCTTTGAAATGCATTGGTGGGTCCGGCCCAGAGCCACATCAAACCAAATCAGCATTCTGTATCTTTCTGCTGTGTTTGATATCATTTTTTTTTAGTTTAAATTGTCTTTCTATGGAGGTTGGGTTTGGAGGGAAGAAAAACCAAACAGGTGCATGGAGGAAATTAACATCAAAAAACCTAAGAAAAAACAAAACAAAAGCAAAACTGTCCAGCCCCATTTTCAATTAAAAGCAGTCTGAGCAGTGTGAAATACTAAAAGGCTTTTGCTGTGCTACATTCAGATCTGCTGTGTAACTTAGATGATAACAACTGGGGATGCTCTTGCTTAGCATTCAGCCCAGACGAGCTACTTTCTTTTGGGAGCTGAGGGCTCATTAAAATGACCTTTCCCCATGATTATTATTTAATGAGTGCACTCTAAAACAGAAACCCCTTGTGTCTCTGGAGGAAAAGTCTCAAGTAATCTCTTTTCCCACTGAAGTACTAATGACAGGCTGACAAAAAAAAGCTGCAAGAAAAAAAATCGGGGTGAGAGTGAGGAAGGGAAACTGCAGAGTCAAATTTAATGCAGTAATTACCACATCCTTGAACACCGTGGGTTACGTCTGGGCATCTGAAAAAATTACCACCCAAAAAGAGACGCAAAAACTTGCCGTGTACGTTTTAAAAAGTGAGAAAGAAAAATTTCTGGCTGTTAAATAATGGGGACCTTACACCCAGCACCCTCCTGCAGCAGCAACAAGGACCAAGTGCCTCCATGTTTTATCTGCCTGCCTCAAGAGAGTCTACCAACAGAGGAAACGAACTGAAAAAGAAAAAAACAAAACTGGGTGAACAAAACAAAAATTAAATTAAAGGGGTGTGGGGGGGAAGGCCTAAACTTAATCTGGACACAGGCAGCAGGGATATTTGAATAATAGAGAGTACCCCAGACTAGGTTAATTCCAGTTCTACTCATGGGGAGTGGGAGCAGGAGGGGGATGCAGAGCAGGATGAAGTGAAGCGGCAACCTAATCGCCTGATAAGAGACACAGCAAGAGAGACAAGGTACACAGGTTTAGTTAAAAATGAACTTGATATGTTTAATAAAGCTTGGTATACCAAATCGCAGTACAAACATCAAGTCACACGGCCACACAACAGTATCCCGGTATTAAAAAAAAGAAAAAAAAAAAAAAGGAAAAAGAAAAAAGAAGGAAAGTAATGAAAAAAAAAAGCTCCTTCCAAACCTCTACAAGGCTCATGCCAAAATAAAATAATAAGAAATAAAATAATAATAATAGTAATAATAATAATATAATGATGATGATGGCAGCAAGGAAGAAAGTGAGGGAAAAACTGAAGGGAGGAAGGGAACAGGAAAGCAGGGAGAGGTGGACACTAAAACCCAGTTGATATAAAAGCTCTAAAAGAGCCGGCCAGTAATAATATCACAATGATACAGGTACAAAAAGGATAAAAAATAAACGTTGGGCTGATAAAGCAGGCTACGCTGCCAAGAACAAAGATGGCCGCCCTGGCTCCGACCATCAAAATGGCTGACCCCGGCCCGCCAGGCCCCTCGCTTACCCTTGCCCCCTGCCCCGCCCACTCCCACACAGACATGGCAGAGGGGTGCGTTTGGGGTTGCGTTTGCTATAAGCTAGTAACCTTGATCGAACGAGTCCTCCGAGGAGTCGCTGAAGGAAG